GTTAATTTCTTCTGTATACATAGGAATAATGCTTTTATAGTTGATGTTAGTAATATGTAAAATTTCAGCCCTAAAAGAATTAAAAATTTTGTAAATATCTACATTAGTTCTAAATCTATTCTCAATTCTGCCAAGTAAAGCATCCATAATTTTTTCTTCTATTTGTATAATATATAACTTAAAAAAATCCATAAGTCTAATTTGAAGAGGATAATTTCTAATTTCTAATATTAAATAAAAATTTCTACAAACGAAAATAGTCTATACTTTTAAATATATATATATATATTAAAAAAATTATTAGTTTAAAGATGGATAGTCAACAATCTTTGAAATATAACAAAAGATGTGCAATATATTTCTTTTACCTTTGTATATATATTTTCTAGTGACATCAAAAATAATATAGTATTAGAACTAAAATGGCTATTTTCAAAGATAAGAATATTAGAGACTCTTGAAATAAGACTAAGAACAAAAAAAATATTAATAAGAGTAAAAAACGACTTTATTCTTATATCTATATATACTATCTAACAAAAAGCTACATGTCAATATTTTATATAGTTTCTAGCATGTGTCCAACTTATGAGACATGTATCTAATTTATAAGACAAGTTTCTTAAATGTGAATCACATAACTAACTTATACCATAAGTCACCAACATGTGCAATAGATGGCCAACTTGTTTTCCAAGTTTCCAACCTAACAATCACCTAAAAACATGTATAAAGTCAAATCCATGTCTATCAAGCTTCTAAAAATCTTGTTTATAAGATATTATCAAATTTATTTATTTCTATTTACTTCTATCTAACTCCCTTACTTTATATAAATATGTAAGTACATGTAAACTTACTAACTATATAGCCTAGGCTCAAAAGTTTCTTAAATCTTAAGTTAAATAATTAAAGGGTTATATAAATTCTTTCTACTCTTGAATCATCTTATAATTTAGAACATAGATTATTTATGTACAAATTAAGTAGATAGAAAAAGAAAATAGTATTTATATTGGTCATTCCATTGTTGTTGTTAACATTGTAATAAATATAAAATTTTAAAGGATCTATTTATGATATATTTTTTTTTACTACTTGATTTTAAAAATACTATTTTTTCTTTTATTACCTTAACTACTTAAAGCAACATAACTTCCTTGTATAATTATGCATATAATTAATACATGGATGGCAAACTATCTTTTTTATTCAAATATATGTTTAATACATGAATAACTAACAACTTTCCTATTCTCATTAACTATTTTTTACTCCTTTACTTCTAATCGTTTTTATTCTAATTCTTCTTTTTCTTCTTTGAACTCTTTTTACACCAAGTCTTTTTTTTTTTTTTTTTTTTTTTTTTTTTGGGGAATTTTTTCACACTAGGCCTTCTTTTGTTAATTTTGTATAAGAAATATAGGATTTAATAATTAATATTTAGAGATTAGAATTAATAATTTAAAAGTAAAAATGAGGGATTTTAGAATGTAAACTAAAGTTAACAATAAATACTTTCAAAAACCATTAATTAAATGTATATATTTTTTTATGCATATATATATATATATATATATATATATATATATATATTTCAGTAAATAATTTAAAACCAAAATATATCCAAAAGCATTAAGTAAAAATATAATTTTATGAAATATTGTAGAAATTGCATAGATGTCAATTGTATCTACAAATACTTATATCAAAGCACAATAGTTATAGAAATTTTAATGAGAAATTTCTTAAATCTATAAATCTATAAATGAGTATGAATTTTATCTGTTATAGTACACAAAAAAAGATTTAGAGAACTTGTAGTAATACAAGAAAAAATTGTCATGATATTAGATGGATGATAAGTTTTGGTAGTTGTAGCAAAAACTTTGATGGCATTAACAACACCTTTAATTTATGGCTACTAGACCTATCTTTCAATATGTTTCAAGCCATTAATAGCTTGGATTTTATTTATCTCAAACATGTTGAGTTTTGTCTTACCTAAAAGAAGAAGCTTAATGGTCTAGTAAGTTAAGTTTGTTCAGCTTTATTATAATCAATTTTTTTTGACATTACAATATATAAGAGGAGATTGAAAATAAAGAAGTACTAACAAAATAGATTCTAACAACTATTATCTTTAAAACAATTCTAAAAGAATAAAAGCATAGATAGTTGAGTAAATATAAATGCACATACTCAAATACTACTATATTCAATATACAAGATATATTATTAGAACTTACAAACAAAAATTAATTACAATAAAATTATTATATTTATAAATAAATCAAAAATTATAAAAAAATATATAATAAAAAACTAAGAACAAAGAAAATAAAATTATGTGCAATGAATTTAATTTTTTCACTAAAAAAATTAATATTTATAACATAAAAAACTTACATAAGACCAACTATTATCTTTTAGATTTTTTTTTTTTTTTTTTTTAATTTTTTTTTTATAAAATAATAGTATAAAATTAAAAAATACATCAATGTTATTAAAAGTTTAACTAATTTCTAAAATCTTGGCTTATTGTGATTTAAGTCTTATATATATTAGATATTTTATAGTCTTAAATTTGTTCTTATAATTGATTTTAAAAATTTATATAAAGTTTATCTTTTTATCTAAATAAATTTAATATTTTTTTATTGATATAAAATAAAATTTCATATGCTTCAAAAAAAATACTTTTACTTAGCATATTATACAATATCTATATTTTATCTAAGGGTATTGATACATTAACCAGGGATTTTACTAAATTTACCAAGTTTTGGTCACAATATCTTATTGTGTAATACATAATTTTAACACATAATCTTTTTGTGCTTAAGAAGAAATAAAAAAAATGTTCTTATTTATTATTTATATGTATTAAAAATAGTTAAAGTGTTAAAACTAAGTTAATATACCACATTCATAAATTGATATATATATATATATATATATACATATTGTCAAGATCATGTGTACACATATCAAATTAACACAATATCTTTAAATTAATATGTATATACAATATCTTTAAATTAATATGTGTATACAATATCTTATTTTGTGTTAAAATTATGTGTGTACATATCAATTTAAAAAAGAATATGTGTTAAAATTATGTCACATACAGTAAGATATTGTGAACAAAATTTGGTAAGTTAAGTAAAAATTCCAATCAGCATATCAGTTCTCATTATCTAAATTATGTTTATAACTGCATTCTAATTTTTTCTTATATATATATATATATATATATATATATATTTCTTATATTAATGATTGAATATAATTATTTTGCAATTGGTTTTCAAGAACAAATTCAACCAGTATTTGATCCAATATACAACATATCTCAAAAAGAATTAGGTTGTCAAAGATGATCTTTACTTTACACGTTACACTGTTCAGTTGTGATGATACTAGTTCAACATTTGATATGATTAAATATTCCAATTAAAATCTTCTTTGATCAAATTCAAAGAACTATTCATTTCTATTAATTATTCAAGAAAATGTGATATAATGATTAAAATAAATGCTATTAATGCTTCCAAATTAGGTTATGTTTACAAAAAGAACTTAAGTATGTTTGTATTGCTTTTATATTTAAATGTAATCATAACCATCTTGAATGATATTTTGGTTTTATTTAGCACATACATATTGAAGTGAAAATCATATTAAATATAAATAAATATAAATATACAGATATATTAGGACTAAAATAAAACACCATAAATTATTATGCATAAAACACAAATGTGTACTACACGTGATAACTCTATCCTGACTTTAGCTTTAATATTTATACAACACCACACCAATACCAACTGCGAAATTTCAATTTGATCACAAGCCATTCATTCATAGGAGAGTGTGGCTTGCGCCAATTAGTGGAAATTATCATGCAACAAAATAATCCATTGTGGATGTTAAAGTGGCTTGAGAAAGGATGTACAAAACACATGTTCATTTCAACATCAATGTTTGAGGGTGGACACTTTGTTTTTATTTTTTTTAATTATTATTATTACTTGATATCACCAAATGGGAAGAATGAGTTAGTAGCAATTTTATTGGATAAGATTAGAAGATGTAGGGTACCAGCTTAATTAATGTATCAATAGACATTATGTGCACACTAAGAAACCGTTCTAAGGTGCATCAGAACTTGACTTAAACACCAATTATACACAAAAGACTATAACATAGGTTGATGGGATTTTGATATGTGTAAATGTAAATACTAAGCTGCCTAAGTATTTGAGCAGTGTTTGCTTTGTTTTATCTCGTTGGTTGACTGCAGAGGTATCCAAGCGATCTAGACGTGCTTGGATATGGTTAGAGAGCATCGCCAACTTTTGAGAAAGAAAGATTCTGGAATAGATACCTTGTCTACTTGGAAAGGGATTGGCCCTGTTCCGAAGGATGCGGATGTGGCTGATGCATCCACAATTGAGCCGAAGTAAAGGCTCGGAAGGTATTATGGCTTGAATTCGGCTGCAGTTCCGCCTCATCCTCCGGCGTGACTGTTGCTTTTCTTATAGAAAGCTGGTCTTTTGGGGTTCAGAGAGAGGTGACCAGGCTTGAAAGTGTAACGGACAATGCTTTTAGGTCTCACTGGGCTGTAAACACAACACTCCGTAACTGTTCCAGGCCTAGTCAGGACATATCGTCAAACTCACGCATACTACTCTGATATTACCTTCCTGTCGAGGGTAGGAAACTTGCACGGTTAATTTAGAAAGTACTGTACTGGAAAGAAGCAGAAAGCTACCATCCATGAATCCCATAACCTCCATCGCTTTTGGTTATTTCTCTACACAACACATGCATGTGCACATACTGTGGAAGCTTAGACAATTCTCTGGAAAAGGCCTCTCTGCATCGCAACACAACCTATCACACCCCGCTAAGTTAGCCGCACTTGCCCATGTCGTGCGCACTGTAGAATACCATTGCACAATGGTGCACACAGATCATGCGCAACAGAGTAAGTTGTCCATGTCACCACAACGTGCTTCCAAACTCGATTAAAAACTCATTCATGTGAACCATGATTACACAAATTTGGGAACCCACTAACTGAGGTACATAGCCTCACGCAGTCGTACCAAAAGCTGCTGATTGTAATCTACAACTCTTGCGTCCATCAGAACCTTCCCACTAACTGTCTGTCCCTACGACTACTTCTCGTCCTAAACTACCCTGCAATGTGGTCTTGGAAATAGACCTCACTCAGTCCTAACATACTTCGTTTCCCCTGCAATTCAACCGACAAAGCTTAAAACAACAATATGAAAATCGAGATGCAACCTTCAATGGAATCGTGCGAAATTGCGAAAAAGTTGAGTCTGGAATTGTACGAACCTCTATGGAGCAGGGGGGGGTGGAGATGCTACCATGGACATTTGCTGAAATTCCACGGAAGAACTGTATGTGTGACATGAGAACATGGTACATGGCCTTGGTTCACCCTTCACTGTCCCTAGTGTTACTAACCAAGAGCTTTATTATTTGGATGAGGTGCCCAATGCTGAAACCCCACCATCACTAATATGCCACAAGCCACTTTGAAGCCGAACCTTTGGTCCAATACGCTCCGAAACAATATTCTGCTCGTGATCTTAATTTGGAGGGCGTGATTCAAGAATCACTTCTGCTTGCTACGATTGCTGGTGAACAAGCAGATAACGGCGATAAGGCGGGCAGCCACACCGTAGGCTACCAGAATTATAAGACAACGCATCCAGTGATCAATCGCATAGTTTTGTCCCTGCAGAACGGCACACCGTGTAATAATCCAGACTCCTCTGTAACTGCACCAAACTCAACAAGATTACTCAAAATCAGTTTCCTTCAGAGATTTAACGCACACAACCAAACATTGCGTGCAGCAACAGTACGCAATCCACAAGGGCTTCTTACTTTGCAGCGTTCGCGATGACGTAAGCCTCGTTGGCATAACGGGCATAGCTGAAGTATTGAAACGTGAGCAGGGCACCAGTCCGTTTCACTGAAATAATCAACGTCGCCAAAATAGGTAAAAATACAGACCACTGCACAGCCACAAGTGGAACCTGTCAGCATTGCCGACTGGAAGAGACCTTCCCAGCACAGTGTTGTATACCTGAAGGCGAGAGCAAATCAAACTCACCAGTTGAGCTGGAGCCGGCTGGAGCAGAATAGAACAGATGTACGCAATACCCGTCACGCAATACACTAGAACCAAGGTGACAGTAAAATTACTTGCAAATGTTGACCGGGGGTTACTGAAGAAATAGAACATAGAGAGGTAAATGACGGGCTTGATAACCACATTAAATAAGTCTACCACGTCCTTGGCTAAAAAGTACGCTCCACGATTGATCCCTGACGCACTCTCTCGCCAGAATGTGAGCTTGTCATTTGAAAATGTTCTCAACGATGCAATCATAACCAGCAGCGCTGCCAGCTCAAACCAGTTAGTACAGTCCAGGTCGATGGGAGGGACATTGCCGCGTCCGGGTTAAATTAAATAAATGTTTATATAAAAAAGTAAACAATTGATATAGTTTCGTGAAATGTGTGACACAGCGCACGAGAAGAAGGCATACCGAGAGCAATAAGAGTGTAAAAATAGCCGCCAGTTCCAAGGGTGGTGTCCTTCATGTTCGAAAGAGGACCTAGACATGCCCCCGCCATCAACAGTATTATGTAGTCTTGAAATTGCACGCGGGCTTCCCGAAAGCGTTGCTTAGCCAATCTACAAGCACGCAGCCCACAGGATTGGCCACTAAAATTAGCATCCACCTTCTGGATCACCCAGCTTCAACTACTACACGATCATTCTCGAACGTTAAGAAATGAGTGCGATAGGTACAGCAGAGGCATTTACCGGCGAAAAATAATAAAGAACTGGGAAAAGAATCCAGGAGTGACACGGCCAGATTTGTTCTCCACCCTCTGAAACGAATTCATGATCGAATCTTTCTTCACTATCACAAAGGTCCGGATTTCTGACCAGAAATCTTGGAAGAAGGTGGTATTGCGCTTGGGCTTCTTCTTAGGCTTCTTCATACTTTTGCCCGAGCGCTGAAACTCCGCGGCCATAGCGGACAAATCAGCGGGGATGTTGTAGCCCTTGTTAATCATCCACATGACCGGCAAGTTCTTGGGGTCGAAGTCAGGTTGGTCTGGAGGCACAACGATGCCCTCCAGCGCATCCATGTAGTGATCAGGCGGATTGATTCGCTCCGGTACAACCAACCCTATCCCTGCAAAGTAATCTTCCACTTCGCTAACGGGCCCTAGGTACACGGTGCGCCCGCCTTTAGCCAGGAACATCACGTCATCGAACATCTTGAATAACCCATAACTGCAGTTCCCACCACAACAGTATTTACGATTGTGGCAAGTTGCTCTATGAGAGGAACAGCGTAACAGAGCTTCTGCAATTGTTACCAATGCATGCAAACGAAATGTTGCAATGTCTGTGCATTGATGGATTAATGAGGATACCTCGGTTGGTGAAGCACGACGCCCACATTGACCCCCATGCTTGCTTCACGGCGCAAGGCTTGAAGGACAAGGCGTGAAGAAGTGCTGTCCAGACCTGATGTGGGCTCATCCAGGATGAGCAGCGAGGGCTCCATCACCATTTCCAGACCCACGTTGACACGCTTCCGTTGCCCACCAGAGATTCCACGTTTCTCCACAGTTCCCACTTGCGAATCTCTTATCGGTCCTAATCCCAATGCGGCGATGATACGCTCTACTACCAACACTCGATCACACTTGGGCATGTTCACAGGCAACCTGCCATGCGACATCAAAACAATGATCTATTAGTATTCACTGATGGGCAGGATGAGCTGGTGATAAACGAAGGCACAAGGAAATTCATTACCTGTAGCTTGCACTGAACCACAAATTCTCCTCAACTGTGAGATTGCCATGCACGATATCGTCCTGCGGCACGAAACCGATGATGCTCTTGTAAGATTGAATGGAATCGGGTTTATCATTAATGAACACGGCCCCTGTGGTGCGGCTGTGCGTGGCCTTTCCAGCGAGGGCATTCAAAAAGGTTGTTTTCCCTGCGCCGGACGGACCCATGACAGCAGTCACCCGTCCAGGCGACAATTTTCCGGTAACGTTACTCAGAATCTTCTTGCCCGAACCCTTCAAGAACAACGACAGGTCTACAAAGCTGAGCTCGATTGGGGGCCGCATCTTGGTGATCATTTGAGTCCCGTACTCAATCCCGCCCTCTAAATCCTGGCTCCCAAATACCTTCTCCTTCTCAATTTGGCCATATGCGTACGCAAAGATTTGGCTTTGCGACTGCCGTATCTCAGACACGGTGCTCGGTTTCTTCGCCTTGCCATCCTTACTTTTGCGTAGTGACCCGTCTTTACTTTTGCGAACGCTATCATTGTCGTCAGGCACAGGAAAGTCAGGAATGACTACAGGGGGAGCAGGATTAGGGGCGTACAAATCTCCTTCGTCGCTGGATTCTGTAAGTGTGTCCAGTGGGGCTGGGCTCAAAGGGATCGATGCCGCGTGAAAACTGTCATCCTCACTGATCCTCGTCCCCATCAATCCATGAGGCGAGAAATGACTCGGTGCTCCACCGAAGGTGCTCAGCGACTGCACCATATGAAGAAAGACATTAGAACTAACATTTGTTGCAGACTTACCAATCCCTTAGGAATTTGAAGAGACCTACTGCTAGCATGTTGGCTGTTGCCCAGAAGTACCTGAAGCTCCCCCGATCTATCATATGCCGGTCGTTTCCTGGACACACCCTTGCTGAGCTTGCGAGAGAAATTGGTCGCCCCACGTTTAGCAGCTTCTTTGGCCTTGGACCACCGCTCCAGCCCAGATATCCTTTCTACCGCCTGCCTTTGAGCCAAATCTCTGGCCTTGGACTTGCGCTTCTTACGGATATCCATGAGCCAGTCCGAACACGTAAACACTAGCAGCAGAGTGATAGTCAAAATCGCCTGCCATATCATACGCCGACGTCGCAGTTGAATTAGAACATCCACCGATTCATCAGCTTCAACGATCTTAACTCTTCTTCTAATGTAATCAACCTTGATGGTTGTGAAAGACAAAGAACTACTTAACAGCAGCAATCACAAAAGTGAAGGAGTTATACACCCACAATGATCAAGCCACCAACACCAGTCAAGTTCTCCTTTTCAAGCTGCTCTCCTGAGCAGGTTGTCAGTTGTGAGCAACCTGTAATTTATCCCACACCACCGAATCAGCTAACTAGGATTCAATGTTCATCCACATGACCAGAAATTAACTCATCTATCCCTTCTTGACTGAGAGACCTGGGAGGTGGCACTTACGCTCTTGCTTTGTTGACCCAAGCCGACAGTAAAATCTGACGTTTCATGAACAAAACCAAGAAGACAGTCAGAGTCTTTAAGAAAGTAACAACGGGACTCTTCATGCATTTCAATCTCTTCACCAAAGACAGTGTGTACACATCTGAACTGGAACTATCCACTCCATACAACCTAGATTCTTCGATTAGTGCACTACCTATATAATTGTTAGAATGCGATACAGTGCCTTTTCAAAACCAGTTTCAAGTAAAAGCAAAACATTTGCATTTCGCTCACCCTTTGGTGCAATTGTAAGCAATGACCGTTGAAGGACAATACTTGCCAGCTGGACAGAAAATCTTTTCTGAGGATTGAACATCGGCCCACTTATCAGCTCCTCCACATTTCAGCTCTTCGCCCTGAGACATCTGGTAACCATATCTGATTCTCCAGAGAAACAATATACCAATCAAAAAAATGAACGCTACAACCTTTGTTCGCAGAAACCTCAAAACAAATAGCCCGTCTATGCTTAAGCTCAGATCCATTGAGCTTGACAGAGTAATATATTTACTGTTTCTTAGCACTAACAGTCGGTGGACTTGTATAGTTGTTAAGTCTCATTCACGCAAGCTACTCAGCATGACAAGGGCGTACCTTCACAATATCCAAAAAGACCTAAAATGTGTATATAGTAGCTAGGTGTAGGGGATAATAATCAAGCTTTGCAACAACAAAAAAAAAAAATGAAAAATGAAAAATGAAAAAAAGAAAACTAGGAAGAACGTCACTCAGTACTCTCTAAAGTTAGACATGGAACCGAGAGCAGCAATGATTGGCAATATAAGAGCAAAACTTACGGATCACACAGCCCACTTGTTTCATTTAGTTCCGCTCGAGGACAATAAGCTCCAAGCGGGCATGCTGTAGACACCAGTATAGAGGAACATCAGCCTTAAATTAGCACTTCAAGCAATCGAAAATAACTTCAAGTCATGGTTGATTAAACTCAAAATAGATTAACGGCACTTACGAATCATGCAGGAGAGGCCCCGGGGACAGAAGAAACCTTCGCAACAAGGCAGGGGCAAAATATTGCGAACCGGAATTACGTCACTGTCAAGACCTCCTTGGGTGATCTTGGCAGCAGCCCAGCCCGCTTCACACCCTAAAGTCCACGACGTGGCGTTGCAATTGAGGTTCGGCGTAGGATTGTCCAAATCCTTGATGTTGCTGAAGTACAACTTCACCTCCCCCATCCCACACAGGCGCTGCGAAATCGTTCCATCTGCGCACAAGAAGACGTATGTTCATGCCACAATTCTGTCGTAGCTGTAGTTTAGGTTAAAGATGAATAGGTACAAGATGAATAGGTACAAGGTGTTTCTAGTTTACCAGTGTCTTGAAAACACTTGTTTAAAAATGGAGAATCCGGTCCAAACCCAAAAACCTCGTCCCTCTCCCTCTCCCTGCGCAGAGAGACAACTGTAATTCGGAGAATTCCGGTAACACTTGTAGCAGAACAAGCATGTCTGCCCTACCACCTGTCGGTGCCTACCGTGAAAATGATAATGAAAAAAGATTTCAGATGTAGCTGCAGAAGCGAGCTCATGTCACGGCCTCTGTAAACCTAGTAGGACGGACCGTGCAGTTGGTTGCACAACCCTCTGATGCATGAAGCTCCGAGTACATAATAAAGCTCATCTTTCCAATTGACAAGCAGGGAACAACAAAATTCTACGAAGATCATGGGATAATCTGTAGAAGTTTTAAACCTACCCGTCGGTGATGCAAAAGCTGTATTTTCGCTCCAGTTCCGATGTTAAATTGGCGGTCATGGTCTGAATCTGCTTGTACACTATCAAACGAGCCTGATCTTCTGAGGTCCCCGGAGGAACGGGATTGACGTAACCTGGGGGCGCAACAGTGCCGGGTGGGACAGTGAACCCCCCTGGGGGAGGAAGAGCCACACCTGGTGGGGGAAGCGCCACGCCTGGTGGAGGAATTATCACCGGGGGAGCTAACCCGAAGCTCGCAGGAGGTGGAAAAGGAAGACCTGGCTGGGCTTCAACTACACTTCCCCAAACGATAAACACTACACATAGCGTAAGACGCAACTTCGCTATGTCTGGCGTCGACCTGCATCGTACCAGCCTCAAGTTCGCCATCACCGACACTCCGAATCTCAGAATGTCTGAATAAGATTTTCCCACATTGAGATGCTCGACCTCCTTCCAATAGAATCGTATCGGTAAGATCCTTAAAACATCTTTCACTACATTTCCATAATTCCCACCTGTTCCACTGATGAATGCACTGGAAAATGGAACATATCAAACAAAGTGACCACTTTGAACCTCAGGAAGCTTCATTGGAAATATTGCTCACGAGCTTGCGTCAAAGCGTTTCGTGCGTCAAATAAACATGAGATTGATCATTATGTTAATGAATGAACTCCCGTAAAATGTGGATCGGTGTAAGAAAAGGCAGGACCACTGTAGAGAAAACTCGGCGAAGCGATATGCCTGAAGACCCGATTCGCTCCGTCACACCGATCTTAAAAGTCTTGTACTCCTTGTCTCAATTCAAGCTGGGTAGATGTATGACAAGGACAGATCTGTAGAGGCAGGCGTCCTTTTCTAACTTCTTCCTCCACGTCAAGTTCATTTGATATTCGTAAGAGCAGACCCCGGCAAGCTCAACCCCAAGGCTCCTCCGATGGTTTCTCGTGCGCGCAAACTTTCACAACCACTGATGTCTTGCTAAACCATCACGCCTAAACAGGTTCAACACACGGTTGAGCAAATGAAACAGTCACGTCAACATCATTACTAGATGAGGCTGGTGCCAGATGTTGCGTAAAGCCTGCAACAGAAGCTAGAAGTGCAAGACGATTCAGATAACATACTAGAATCTAGTCGCAACCCAAACTATCAAATTCAGCAGCAGACAGCAGAAGAAGAAGAAGAAGAAGAATGTAAGTGAAGCAAAGTACTTTGATGTCCTGCACCAACCACGCGTGATTTGTGACCCTGGACGGCGAGAGAAAGTGGTGGAGGGGGCAGCAAGTTCAGGCAATGTAGGCTGGACTGCCCTGGTTGCTGCGGTAAAGGATGAAATGCAGGAGAGGCGGAGCCAGGTAAGTCGCAGCACGCGGATGTTGGCGGAAAAGAAAGTACCGATTCGAAGGAGCGGCAGAAGCGGGGGTAGCGAGAGAACCGGCATCAGGGACGGGAGGCTAACTTGGTTGACTCACGATCCATGGACTTGGCGTTCTCCAGCTTGCGCAGCAGTTTCGGAATCAGTGATACATTCATTCAGTCTGGTCCCGAACGATTAACAGAGGGAGGCTGCTGCGCCTGCAATACCATCCATGCGAAAAGATTCGATTCGGGCTGCACAAAGACTGGGAGAGACTGATAGAAAGAGAAAGTAGATAGATAATTATGTAACGAGGAGGAGAAATGCCGGGTGGGGGGTGGGGGCGGGGGTGTGTGAATGAAGACTAGTGAATGCATGACACGGGGCCAGTTGGGAAAGAGATATTCATCCAGACAAAGTCCCTTCCCCTCCCTTCATCGAGGTCGAGGCCCGCCTCCTCCTTCTCCTGCTCCTGCTGCTCCTCGTCGTCTCCACCCACCCCACCCCACGCCCTCCTTTCTCCTCCGTTCGCTTACTTCGCTTCTTTCTCCCTCCTTTCTCGTCTCGTGTTCCTGGGACGATGACGATTCCTCGTGGCGGCTCTCGCAAATTTCGGCGACGGCGGGGCGCCCACCATTCTCTGTCGCTCTCTCCCTCTGTTGCCCCGTATCTCATTCCAAATTTTCCATTCGTCAGGCGCAAGGCCATGTCATCTCCCCTTTCCCCTCCCCACGGTATGAGTGCGACTCTCTCTCTCACTTCCCCAACGGGCACCTAAACCCGTGATGGCCCACTGCATCCACCGTCGTTGCTGTGGGGCACGGAATGTTCACCTTGTACTTCCATGCAACCAAAATTTCCACCACTCCACTCCACCCCACTCCACCCCACCCCCAAATATCAAGAGTGCCTTTGTCTACTCTGCCGATTGTCTCTCAATGATATCATGTGTTACCTCCATTCAGAAAGACAAAACATAAAGTAACACACATCAATAGATAATACTAAATCAATCAACCTATCCCCTTGCACATCTCTGCTCTGTCCAATTATAGCATTTTCCTAGTTACTGCAACCAAACAATTTCATTACACAAACCAATATTCTCGGATCTCACTTTCAGTCGAATATTTTTCTGTCGAGATCATTGTTCTGTCGAGTTTATTGTTTCTGTCGGGTTTATTGTTTCTGTCGAATAATTCAGTTTCAGTCGAAGAAGTCGTCGTGGTTCATTGTTCTCGACAAAAAAACAAAAAACAAACTTCTTCGACCACTTCCTTGCTTCTTTATTATTATTCCTGTTTTTGTGATGATTAATAACAATAATATAATAATGATCTAAAATTTTAATCAGAAAAATCAGGATGACTACTCTATATTCATACAAACACACATGCATGTTGTTTAGCAACAAATATGTATTTTTTTAAACTTTATGTTTGTATATTCATCAAGACTTTTCCATGCTGAAATCGAAAGAAAAAGTCTGCCTATGCACTATTTTTAAAGTATTATTGAAATAATTTCTTCATTAAAAATTTCAATAATTTGAGAACCAAAGCAATAAATTTAATTTATTACTTATTTCTATTTATACTTTTGGACACTATTGAATACATAATATCTAAAGACAATCCGTAAATTCATCTTATCTTTAATTCATCACTAATATAATGTCTAAATTAATTTTATAAAAGATAATTTTTAAATAGTACAAAGCGACAAAAAAAAGATAAAATTCCAAATTTACTAGTTCTATTAGTATTTTTACTTTCTAATTTAAGGTTGAAATCGCATATGAAATGTTGTAGATAACTCATGAGATTTGCAATAATAGATAATACTTAAAATTAGTAATCATGTCATAGTACATCTACCAACTATCTAAAAATACAAACAAAAAACATTACAAGTATATATATTAGTTTGTACTCACTTATCATACTTAATTATTTCAAAAAAGATACATATATTTAATTTCTTATCAGAAAATATATATTATATTATATAAAATAATTATTTTTTATAAAAATAATATAAATTTATTTATGGTAGTTAAAATATAATTCTAATTATAAAATATAAAAGATATAATATGATACAAAATAAAATATTTGATTTCTAAGATAATATATTATAAATGATGTAATTTTAAGACTATATATATATATATATATATATATAGATAGATAACAAAAATATTCCTATAGTATAGATGATCAAGATCTTGATTCCCAAATAGAAGTTGCAGCTAATATTTGTTCCATTTAAATGGCATTTGCTACTTTTTACTCAGTTCATGTTAACATTACCATGCATACATACTCAAAAGTCATATCTATACAACTAGCGGCACTTCCATTTACAATTTGATTTGATTGCATCCAAATTCACTTGCAGACATTCTTAGCCTTGGTGCTACTATCATTGCCATCTATATCACATCCATCCAGCCACACTCCAAAAAATCATTTCACTAAGATTCTATGCTCTCTTCATATTTTAGACCTCCTAAAATCAATTTATATTTATTTTAGTTTTCTTCTTCTTACAACTTCTTTTCATTACACTATTGATTTATTTTGTTTTTTTGTTATTCAACCCATTAATGTTGCAATTTTTTCTAAGTCTTTTAATTCTCTTTCTTTTATTGATTGTTATACAATATCTAATTTGAGGTAATGGTGCTACTAACTTCAAAGACACAACCTTCATTTTATATCTATAAGATATTGATCTAATGGAAGTAATGCTCTGACATGACTTGGACAAAAGCAAGAAATTTGCTAAAGTATTACAACCACATTCAAAACAATGTGTGCATCAATTAATGCAATGACTTCATGAAATTAATAATCCTTATATAAAGAATATTCTATTGATATTATTAAGGAAATCAAAGTGAAATATATACCTTAATACTTGTAATTTTTTTTTACTAAGCATTCAAAGGTTTAGGGTTTAGAGTTTAGGATTTATGTTTAGGGTTTAGGGTTTAGGGTTACAAGGTTTGTTTAGGATTTAATTAGGATTTGGTTAGGATTTATTAGGATTTTACTAGGATTTGATTAGGTTTTAATTAAGGTTTTTATTTTAATATTTTATTAAGATTTGTATTTTTATATGTTTTTGAATTCTATATTATTTTTTTATGATTTCTTTAAAGATTCTTTAAGAATACTTTGTGTTTCTTACATAATTATTTTGAAATTTTGATTGAATTTGATTGATATTTGATTATATTTGCTAATCATCAATTATAATTTTTTTAAAAATCTATCAGAGTTGTTATAACTTATTGTTATAATTTTCTTTTTATCTTCTACAGCCAAGTGCCTAATGTATTCTCAAGCCAAATGCCACGCAATATGACAACGTTGACTCTAGATGTTTTTTTTACTTGTAGTTGTATCAATTCACCGTCTTCAAAAAGTATTTGACATTTGGATAAGGATGCTTACAAACAACCTTGTCCCATGCACCACATTTAAACCTCAATAACTAATGAATGAACTATTGATTTTAACTTAAAATTTGTATACCTCTTAAAAATTAAGTTGAAAACAAGTACAGATTTTTTGAAGAAGATCGAATTCACCAAAAAAAAGATCAACCCTAATATTTGCTCGGATGTTGGCTAGCCTTCTTCTTCAATCTAAATGTTGAATTTTGAGTATCAATATCTCCTTATCAAACTGCTCAATTGATTTTAAATTTCTTACATAAGTAGGAAAATAAGTCTTCTACCTACACATATAATTTTCATTTCAATCCAATAAATAGATTGCAAGAAATCTTAGAAATCCTCATTAGACCTAAAACTCAACTTTTTGAGACCCTGACCCACTTAAACCTCAATAATCCTTGATCCAATCCTTTGATCGAGTTATAACTCACAACATATAATAAACACATATACATATCCACAAACCCTCAAAATTTCACTTGCAGATCTATTGCCAAACTTACAAAATTCTCTAAAAAGTATCACCCACTTTATTTCATAAATCCAAAGTCACCCCAAAAAAACTCCGACTTTGCAAAACTCTTACAAAGGCAATACACACTTAAATCACATCAAATCAACACTCAAAGAAAATCTATCAAGTCAGCTCTTAGGCCCTATCCTTCAATTTCCAAAAGAATCCTAGAATCGTCATTAAGGCTTGGCTTTGTGCCTTGGCATTTGATTTCAACTCTAGTTCATAACTGACCCTCTTTGGGTACCAATATCTAATTTTTTTAGGTAATTTTTGCTAGAATTTACTCTTAAGTTCTTTTTAAAGATATTTATATCATTTTTTTTTCAATCTACGTTATTTTGCCTTATTTATGGCCCTATAAAGTAAATAGAAGTCACTTTTCTAAAAAGGTAGCATTACTACTAAAAATTTTACTACCTTCTTATCTTTTATCCATATTTTTTTATATTATCACTTAACTTGGTTCTTCTATAATAAGATCCATATTATCATCTTTTACCATATAGTCATGTTATAACACAACAATATTTACTTAACTTTGTAGCATATTAAATATCATATTCTTTTACAACAATTATAATTATATTCAAGAAGACTACTCATAGCTATATTTAATAGTATATGGTGGCAAAAATATTAATTGGGACATGATTATCAATGAACATTTTTTCATTGAATTTTTCCACCTTTTTCATAATCTATAATCATCAAGTAACAACCTCATTAGATTATTTTTGACCTTATATATTTGTTATTACAATTACTTTCAAGAATACTTATAGCAATATTTAATAGCATGTGGTGGCAAAAATATTAATTTGGGCATGGTTATCAATGATCACTTTTTCATTAAATTTTGCCACCTTTTTCATAATCTATAATCAATAAGCAATAGCCTCATTATACCATTTCTGACCTTGCATATTTGTCACTACTTGACACACTATTGAAAACTTAATGCACTATTTTGACTAAGATCCATGGTCAAGGTACACAAAGAATTATGTTAGACTTG